TCATTTTGTTATATTGATTAATAATCTGGCATGTAAGGAAATGGATTGTATCTAATTATGCTTGACTGTCAAAAGAATGAACAACACTGTAAGATTATTCTCCTGCCTTCCCACTCCTCAAACCTTAGAAGACTAGGGGATGGCTCCAGGAAAGACATCAAAGAGAAAGGGGAACTCCTGCTGTCCAGCAAATTTCTGCTTAGGTGATATTAGGTATAGTTCCTTTTTGAAAAATGAAGTTTCATGTGAGAAAGGCAGTAGATTTCATCAAAATATCCTCAGATTGTTTTAAAGTTGATAAGTAATCAGAAATGCTATTATACAAGTAGCTATCCAAGAAATGTTTATAGAGGTTTTTTCCCCCAATTGATTTGTTTTATTCATTCATTCTCCAGATCAACATTAGGGTTCCTGAATTCAGAATAGTTACTCCTCTCCATAGAGCAACTGTTCCCATTGCTCCTGATAGAGTATTTTGCCATAGCTTTTTCTCTATGATGAAATGAAATAAATTATAAAGTATTACTTTTCTGTGATAAATCTTGCTCTGCCTGTAGTTGGTCCACATTCAAATGAGATTCCCAGTCAACATTTCTTCTAAAATAAATTGTTAAAAGTATTTCTTGTAAAATTTTAATTTAAGAAATGGGTCTAACATTAAATTCTCAACACCACGTATGTAAGGGTCCTTGAACTTTCCACATTATGATGTAAATATTGCAGATGTATTCCGGAACATAATTCACTTTGTTTCTTCCAAACTCTTTTATACAATCAATCCAATAAGTTTCAATAAGGAAAAAAGGGGGTTAATGATTATATTGAAACAAAATGATGTATTGATATAATTATTTTATTACAGAGATCATGTGGTGCTTAGTCTCAGTGTGAATAAATGATTAATTTTAAAATAATGCAATGAAGTTACAACTCAACATATTTAATGATGGAGTTAGTTTATGACCATATGATAAGAAATTAGAAAAAATATGCTAAATATCTCTTTAAATAGGAATGCTGGCCTAACATTTTCTCACTGAATATTTTGCATAGATGCCTGGAGCTGCTAAAATAGGGTGTGTGTGTGTGTGTGTGTGAAAATGTAGTTGTCCTTTAGGGAAGATGGGATACTCCTTTTCAGCAACTATTATGTAGCTTTATATTTAAAAAAATCTTTAGAAAAGGGTACAGATTTGCTATATAGATATCAATGTTTACAAATGGCCCTTTTTGAATATTAATGTGAACGCTCATGTTTTATTGCAAAAATTAAGTTGGTTCACAACCATGTTTACTATTCTGAGAAGAATCCAGCCAAAGACAAGTCCTTCAAGAAGAAAAATGCTAGTATAGTTAGTTTTCAATTGAAATAGTTCAGATTTATGTGTTAATCTGCGAATTGTCAGTAATAAAATTATTCTGCTTCCCAATAACTTCCTAAAAATGAATTATCTTAAATGAATTATTCAATAACTATTTAACTAACTCCTCCTATTCTGAGGAAAGTCATTCTGTCCTTAATCCACAAAATTTACTCTTTAAATTGGAGACAGGAATACTAAATCATAGCAAGGTCTACAGCTCTGTGCTTTCATCCATACTGAAGAAATAATTAAAATGTTTCATGACTATTTGCAATGAAGATATTAAAAATGGAGACAGAATCGTTCCAGCAGCTTTATACATTTTAAATAGGATAGAGTCTTAAAATCACTAGAAAATATAAATCCATTGTATTTTGGTTTGAAATTGGTAATTGCTCTATTCTACTAAATTAAGACTCTTTAAATGAAACCCCGATTTCTATTGACCATAGGTTGCACCTTAATTTGTTGTTGCTTTTATTTTTGTAGCTATAGGTCATATTCACAACTGATGTGACTCTACACACTAGAAGTCACTTTGAACTTAGCAGTGGAAAGAGGACAGAAGCAATTTACCAGCTTACTACGGGCATCTGATTGGTCATTCTGAGATGGGCTAGAGATCTGTCTTTGAGTAGATCTGATATCTGATATTTGAGTAGATCATTTCCCTGCAGCCTACACTCTGTAGGGTTGGACATTTCCCTCATTTTTTCTCTCTCTGCTTAACTGTAGACAGATAATCATGGAGTCGTTGCTATGCAATTTTTATTTGGAACAGCTTTCTAAAAAGTTTATTAAAATTTATCTCAATATAATATGTAAAGCATGTGGAAGCTTACTGATGTGTGACAAACCTGAAGGCACTGGAACTAATGGAGCTTATTGCTGGGATGTCTGTCCCTTTTCAACCACAACTGTCTCTAATTTGTTGTCTTTCCTGCATTCCCCTCCTCCCCAGACAGAATCACACTGAAACAGGAATTGTGAATTGTGAATACAATCATCGTATGTACCATAATAGTTCACATATGTAGGCTAAATGGCTGTGTGTACCTCTTTTATCAAGCAAAGAGATAAAGACTATAATTTTAATAGGGATTATTGCAATACATGTTTTGGAGATGTCATTGACTGTAGCATAAATCAATATTAAATACTTTATAGAGGAAACACATTTTCAGATGATGGTCCTTAAGGCTTTTCTGTGGATGATATCCTAATTACAAGTGCAAGCTTATTACAGTTTCTCTCTTCAATTATTTACAGTGCAAAAGGATAAGAAAGACTGCACTAGCCATATTAAAATATGTATGCAGTTTCTTTACTGTTACCATAATGGCATACAAAAATGAATCGGAAAAACATTCTTGTGCACAAATGTGGTTTTGTTTACCTGTATTTTTAAATTAATTATTCATAATGTAGCATGTTGGCAATTGTTGTGTTTGTGTATTTTCAAATGACATATAGGCTTCTAGTTTGCACTGCCATGTAGGAGCTTGAGTATATACCACCCATACATGAAAGTAAGTCCCACTGATATTAAATCACATGTCATTATGCATTTGAATTATTGTGTTACTGAAAATGAAACATTATCAATCCTTATTAAATTTATCAACCATCACTTCAAAATTCAAAAGGTCAAAATTCAAAAGGTCATATATTTTATACATGAGTCTACTTTTGGTGGAAATGTTATGATTCACAACTTGATGTGGAGCAATTCGATTTCAGATGCATTTGTCAAGTTCAAAATGAAAATGTCTCCTTACTACAAAGGACACCAAGTAAAAGAAATCCATGGTTCTCAAAACAAAAAGCTAAGAACCCTCTAAGGGAAAACCCACAATTGCTAGAGGAGCTCTTGAATACTCTCTACTCCCAACAACCATAAACTCAGCATTCTTGCCACTCATAATTGCTTCATTTGTAATTCATATACACATGGAGGAAAGCTTTGGTTGTAATTCTCACAATCAAGATAATTCATAGATAACATACACCTTAAACTGGAATGTAGCTGATGTAGCCATGTGATTCATCAGATTAATATAATGAACAGTACTGAATGCTCTGCTTCCAGATGACTATGGTAGGTAGGTATGTATGTATGTAGATAGGTAGGTAGGTAGGCAGATCAGTCAGTAGGTAGATAGGTAGGCAGAGGACAGACAGAAAGATAATTTATAGAGCATTTTAACATTTACTGATGACCCTAAGATATGAATAAACATATTTTTTTAAAAAGCTGTGATAGTGAATCTTCATATCCAGTGCTGTATTATTGCAATTCAAGAAGAATAGACTACACATGTGACATATTGTGTGCACGCATGTTTCACGCAGCGCTGTTCACTGGAGAACACTTAGATATCAAATATTCCAGACAGAGAATGCAATCTCCCTGCATTTGCCAGATTTGCAGCATGATTTGCCAGAGCAGCTACACTGATCAGTTTTGGACATTCCACATGCATCCACAGACACATACCAGAGATGTCAAAGATCTTGGGAAAAATTAACGTATCAACCTCCACTTCGTTTTTCTTTTCAGTAATGCGGAGAAAGCAAAATGTATGGCAGAGACTCTGGTAACCAATTTAATTTTAGACAGGCCAGTTAAACGTTACCTTTTCCAAAAGCAGTTTTTGAAATTTGCAGAATAAAACATTCCGGGAACAGATTGCCTACATAGATGCTTTCAAAAAAATAATTTTGTTTTAATTATTGGTACTTTCATTATCTTGTTCAAGATGGATGATTTTATTATTTAAAATAAAGCTCAGGGTTCTTCTGGAAATGTATGCATGTATGTGCACATGTAAGTATTATCTCTCCTAATCCAACTAGTTCCCGAGTTTAAAGTAGTTTCCTGGTTAGTCGAAAGTTATGGTAAGAGAGAAAAAGCAGTAAATTGGGGATACGGGATGATAAAACTTAATCCTGTTATTTCTGCTCAGAATACAAAACCTAAGGGGAAGGAAAAGGGAGGTTTCATTACATTCCCAGAGCCAACAAAATGCCTATCAGGACACCGATCTCTATTTAACCATGGGAAGGGGAGGGGAGGAGGGGAGCAACTGGGATATGTATCAGAAGGAGGGGAGAAAAAATCGAATTACCTTCGGGCGTAGGAAGAAAGTGGGGGGGGGGAGAGTAAGAAAGAGCAGGGGAGGCAGTTGAGGAAAGGGGTCAAGAGTCAAGAGAAAAGGGAATGGCTGGGAGGAGACCGTGAGGACATCAGTCTGAGGAAGGTGAAGGATGCTCTCAAGACCCCGGCGCTTCCGCTCGAAAGCCTGCTACATTTCTTTTCTTTCTTTCCTTCCCTAGCACACACACACGCACACACAATCACGTACATCCTAAAAGGGAACAGGCGAGGCAGAGTCAGGCTGCCGGCGCTATTTGCGCCCCCCCCCCCCAAACAGGGAGCGCGCCTGTAACCCGATGCCACCCTAAGAGCCCCCTCCTCCCCGCCCCAGGATCCTCCTTTCCTCTTCCTCCGAAGCTATAGTTAGCAAGACTGCAAAGTGTAGCCCAGCCCAGCCCTGCCCTGCCCTGCCCGCCCCCGGTGCCCTTCTCTGGCAAGAAAAAGAAGGCGAAAGACCCTGCCCGGCGACCGCACCATACCTTCGCCTGCAGATACTGGGGGTAGTAGTAGGTGGTGTACTGGGGGTACATCTGCTGTTTCCACACTTTGCCCATGAAGCTGGAATAAGGGAGCCCGCAGCGCAGGGATGAGGGAGGGCACTTGACCAGAGGGAGGGGGTGGGGGGGAGAGAGGAAAGCGATGGCGAAAGGGAGGGGGCTCGCGCTCCTTCCCCTCCCCGCACGCGCCTGCTCGCTGGCTCCCTCGCGCTCTTCCCCCTCCTCGGGCTTCTTTCTTCCCGACGGCGACGGTCTGGGTGCGCTCCCGCTTTCTCCGCCGAGCCCAATCCTCCTTTCCTTTCCTTTCCTTTCCTTCTTCCGACCCTCGGAAGGCGGCAGCTGCGGTGGGAGCAGCGGCAAGAGAAGGGAGCTGCAGAGGGCACCAAGGACAAGAGCGCTCGCTCGCCCCCTCCCTCTCTCCCTCTCTCTCTCGGCCCGGGGACTCGCGCGAGCACGAGCGCGCGCCCGCTGCAAGAGTTTTTTCTCTCCCCACGCCCCCCCCCCCGCCTCACGAGAGAGGGAGTAGCGCCCGGTCGGTTCCCAGCGCCGCTAAGGGAAGCGGTCAAGACAAGTGCGAACTGCGGATGCGGCAAAGGACTCCTTGCCAACCGAAGGGGCGAAAGGAAAGCGGGAGGCGGGCTGGGGAGGGAAAAGAGAGATGGGAGAGCAGAACGGCTGAGGGAAGGAAGGAGGGTTTGAGAAGCAGGCCAGGGAGGGGGAGAAAGGGGAGCGGCGCGCGCGAGGAGGAGCGGGGCGGCGCTTCGATCCCTAGTCTGGGCTCCGCGGGTGGGATGGGCTTCTCCTACGAGAGGGGAGTCGGGGGGAAGCCGCTGCGGCAAACACGGGGAGAGCAGATCCGAGCAGGAAGGCGGCGAATACTTCGGCGGGGATAGAGGGTGCGGGGGTGGGCATCGAGGCGGCGCCGGAGGACTCAGAGACCCCGCGACGAAGGACCGGGGCGTGAGAACTGGCGGGTTCGGACTCACCAGCTCTGCCGGAGTCGTCTTAAGGAGGGATTGTTGGAAGGCGAGGGCAACTGTAATTGCGACCCTCGCCCGGGTTGCAAATCTCCCCAACAGGCGGAGGGGGAAACTCCTCTTGCTTGCTGACTACCGCGATTGCTCCTTTTCAGGCTCCTCGTTGTAGGACAGGAGGCGGATACGTCTCTTGCTGGCCCTTAGAAAGAACTCCCGTTGCCGCTTGTCACTGGTGCAAAATTGATGGGGCCTTAGCATTTTCCCCGGGATTTCTACAGTGCGGGTTTTTACGATGCTGCCCGAGGAGAACTCTTGTGTGTCTTTTTAAAAAAAATGTTCTTTTGGGGGCGGTCTTTTTCAGAGACGTACAGCTTGTCCTTTAAGCGCCTGGCCTCGGATGTACAATGACTGATGTACTTGGGGCACAAGCGGGGAAATAAGAGTTACTAGTTTAGCAGTTGGTAGGAGGTTTCTTCCTTCCGATTTCCCAACCTAAAACTCAAGAATGGGTTCCAATAAACATGCGCAAGAGGCCTTCATCCTGCGGTAGATGGGCGATGGCTAAAATGATGGTGGTGATACGATTGTACAGTGAAACTTTTCCCATGATATTTTCTACAACTTCATGGGGATTTCCCATCTTCAAAATTCATCTAATATACTTACTAAATTCCTTGTACAACTGTTTCAGGGTTACTTTTTTTAGGCTAATGTTCTTATTCCTAACCAAACATCATCCTTTTCTTGGGTGAGTGAATAAAGAAGATAATGTTTCCATACTGAGAAGCTTCACCAGACACATAGAAAATGCTAACAACTGGAAAAGATGAAGGTGACACACCACATTTACATGAGATTAGCAGTGGCTCAGTGGCTAAGACACTGAACTTGTCGATCAGAAAGGTTTGGCAGTTCAAATCCCTAGCACCATGTAACAGTGTGAACTCCCTTTACTTGTCCCAGCATCTGCCAACCTACCAGTTCGAAAGCACATAAAAATGCAAGTAGAAAAATAGGGACCACCTTTGGTGGGAAGGTAACAGCGTTCTATGCGCCTTTGGCATTTAGTTATGCCAGCCATATGACCACAGAGACATCTTCGGATAGCACTGGCTCTTCGGTTTTGAAATGAAGATGAGCACCACACTCTAGAGTTGGAAATGACTAGCATATATGTGCGGGGGAACCTTTATCTTTAGAGCCCAGGAAGTTCTTTGGGACTCAATTCTGAATATGTACTCACAGAGCTGGACTTCTGAAAGGTTTAAGAGCAAAGCAAGAAATGCCAAAAATGTTTAGAACCACTGAATAAATAGTTGAGTATGAAGAGAGTTAACATATTTTTCGGAGTATAAGATGCACCTTTCCCCCCACTAAAAGAGGGTGAAAATTTGGGTGTGTCTTATACACTGAATGTAGCACCACCCACTGGCCTCTGCCTCCCAGCAATTTACCTCCTTGCAGCAAATGGGAAAATGGGGCTTGCAGAGGTCATAGGTCATAGCAATCCCTGCAGCCTGAAACAGATGATGATCAGGAGGCTGGCTGAAATTGAAAGTGAAACTTGCTGTTTGCTCCATGAAGCAAATTGCTGGGAGGCTGAGGCAGATTTTTTTTCTTGTGCTAATCAAGCTGTTTGCTGCAAGGAGGTAAATCAATAACTATAAATTCCTATATAATGTTCAAATTATTAGACTTATGTTTTTTAAAGGCTGCTTTATTATTGTTCTGGACATCTTAACAAAATGAAGCTTTTAAAAATAAATGCTTGATCTGAAGAGACCAAGTGCTATTGTATCTTTTTTTAAATAGGAGAGAATAACTATACTCCCAGAAAGCACATCAATTTTAACAGCATCTGTACAAGTATAGTATGAAACGTAACACTACAAACTATATTGCCTGTACTATTTGCTGTTTGTTGCAAGGAGGCAAACTGATGGGAGGCAGAGGCAGATATTTTTCCCTTGTTTTCCTCCCCAAAAGCTAGGTGCGTCTTATACTTCAGAGTGTCTTATACTCTGAAAAATACGATATATGGCTGGAAGAAGTTGAAAGAAGTTGAAAAGACAGAAAAAGAACTGGTTATTAAGAGTGTGTTATAATGTATTTTCTCTTGTTTCCAGCACAGGGAGGAAAAATAATTTAGGTCATACTAACATCTACTGCACATCCAAGCAGTATTTAAATGTATAAAAATGGCCAATCTAAAGATACAGATTTTCAATAAAGTTTCCATTATGCTATTCTTTAAATGCATATGAACAGTGAAAAAGGTGTGAAATCACCATCACTGAGAAATCATCACTGATTTAAGATATTTATGATCCCATATTCTTATGTTCTGATCTGGCCGTAGCCATCTTGAGGCTTCAGTGCTATTACACTGGAGCGAGGGAGGGAGGGGGGAATAAGAGATAGCTGGGGTTGTGTAGTCAAAATAAAACACTTTCTCTAGGGAACTAAAGATGTTCTCACACCTGGCCGGAAAAAGGAGGAGTGATGTCACCAGACCAGCGGAAGCTGCATTGGTTGGGCCATGAGGCTGATTGATTGGGATTGAGGGAAAAACTTTTACTTTTAATTAGATGAAAACCAAGGGGCCCCTCAGAGATGGTTTTCACCAGATATGTGTCAATATATTTCCAATAAAGCTATTCTTTGAGGAATCCACCTACTTTGAAGTTTTTGCTTGTAATGGATCTATTACTTGGAACCCTGACATCTAATTTATCCCACTCCCAAGTTCAAGATATAGTAAAATACATATCCAAGCATCTCTTAGTTTACTGGCTAAGACAGCTGAGACTCATACATCTTCATATATTAACTGAATTACAGTAGTTTCAGATATTTGCAAGATTCTCATAATGTAACTTTACAATAAAGTAGCATTGGTTCATCTGGACATGCTTTCTGTTCAACTATCTTATAATGTTGACACCTTGCAAGTCTGAAAGTACAGTTCTGAGTCTTCACAGCCGAAGAAACTAGGGAGGGTCTCTTGTGAGGTTTGCCATGTCTACTTTGGCAGGCTAAGTTGCCTCTGTTGTCCTGGTTGGGGGTATTTTCCCCTGTCTCCCAAGATCATCCCCACATAGGGCCACTTAAATTACATTCTCAGCAGCCTTTTTCTTTTGTTAGACTTACATGTAGAGGTAGTCCTTGACTTACTATCACAATTGAGTCCAAAATTTCCATGGCTAAACGAGACAGATGTTAAGTGAATTGTGTCCCCAATTTACACCCTTTTTTGATACAATTGTTAAGCGAATCTGGCTTCCCCCACTGACTGCTTGTCAGAAGTCAACTGGGAAGATGACATGATGATCACATGGAACGCCCCCCCCCCTGACATTGCAGCTGTCATAAATACATGCCAGTTACCAAATGCCCAAATTTTGATCGTGCGACCATGGAGATACTACAGCAGTTGTAAGTGTGAAAACGGTCATAGGTCTGCACTTTTTTCAGTGCAGTTGTAATTTTGGTCACTAAACGAATGATTGGAAGTCAAGGACTACCTGTATGCACAAATCTCAGTGCCCACAATGTGGCACAACAATGACAAGATTCAAATGTTAAAATATGTACATATATTTAAATATAAAGCAAGATTGTGTTTAGATGCTAACTTGGTTTTTCAACTTTCTCATTCAACAAGCTCAAATAATAGTAATTGCAAGAGATCTCATTGTGGAAGACTTGTTTTATATAAAGTTGATTATGATGGAATGTCTGTTGTTTCTTTACAATAATAATGGGAACACCCAAGGGACGACAGGTGGTCCTTAATTAGTAACCAAAATTGTAACCTGTTGTTAAAGTATTTGCCAAGTGAAATTGCAAATGTGTTACTATTTTACTTCAGCTATACTTTACAGATGTGTCAAGGTCATAAATGGAAGGATAGATTGTAAAGTTACTTTTTCATCACCGTCATAACTATTAAATACTCAGAGTAATGAGAATAGTCTGAGCCGATCCTTTCTGGTACAACACACTTTATTTATTTCTTCAACAATCTAATAAGAACAGAACCAAGAACTCTGGTTTGACAGCTATTTATAGTGCGGCTGTCAAACCGGCAATCAATCAGACAACGCCCGCTTCTGTTGACGACGCCCACGCGAATCAGCCAATCCAGGCACCTGCTGGTGCTGATTGACACTACGTAGTTGCCATGGCTCGGACACAACAATAACAGCCACTAACAGAGAAACAAAGGACTACATGTATACTTTTTTATACCTTCTAGCTAGCAAATTGAACTGTTATCTGCTTTCCTTTCTTTAGTGAATATACTTGCCATCTGAATATACTTGTCATCTGAAGTTAACCGTGCATCTGATGAAGTGA